CTACGTAATAGCATTACATATGGCTATATTTGCAAGAAGATCCATATGGAACATGCATTTGAAGAGTGTGGGTTTAACAGTTATGTTAATTTCCAAACGGAAAAGTATTTCATGTATTGTTATAGTTTCCTGTATCGTATCAGATCTATAGAAAACAAAAATTCCACCGCTGCTATGAGAAGTAAATGAGTAGATGTTCAAGCGGTATAGTTATTTCAAGAGGGAGAAAGTTGAAACTTACCCCACGATTAAAGGCAGCAACACAGAGACCTCTGGCAAGGCCAAGAAAACACCCGATAAGCAGTAATGCCCATTCAGGAGGAGCCCCGTCTCCAAGGATCTGATCATCAATAAACGCCACCACCATTTCCACCGCTTCTTCTAGAGGACACATGATCCCTATATGACCATTGTTCCCTAGGCGAACGACGCTTGATACTAAGACGTCGACCAGAAAACACTCGATTCAGTCTATTCCATAGATCTTTAATGGTTTTACTATTTCTTGCACTTGATTTGGCAGATGAAACTTGGCCTTCCAAATGATTCTCTGAAGACGAAGAATTGGACCGCAAGAGAATAGCGTGATCACTGTGATCGCCTCCAGACATTTTATCACACCCTAATTTGCACACACACTAGTATATGAATCGTTCTTCCATATCAAACCAAGATTTGGATGTTGTTGATGAAATCGGTTGCTTTATAACTTATCTTAAAATTGATCTCCTAGCTATTGACACGTGTAAAGAGAAAAGTATAAAATATTAAAGGAAAATTGATCCAAATAATCGTTTCTTTCTTTAAAATTGGTCTCCTAGCTATTCCTTTTCAAATTTTATCACATGTCGTTAATTCCGCAAATGACAGATTTTTAATTTGTGGAAGGATCAAAAAGTAGTTTATGAACATGCTCCATAAGTATAGGGGTCCAAAATGTAAAATTATATAAACATGTCCCCTTAATTGCAGGTGTAGAAAAAAATTGTGGATCTGCTCCATGTACTTACGGATAATGTTTAATTTTTTTATTTTTTTTATTTTACTGTTTGACTCCTCAGTAAATTGAGAAGTTATCACTTATGAAAGGTAATGATAATTTGGTAAAAGGGGAGAGAAATGGCTAAGACAGCTTATTAGAAGAGAAAAATGACAATTTGAATCAATTTCTTAATATCTATACATATCTAAAAGGAAAACTAATGGGGAGTGCTAATGGCACCCCCAATAGGGGGTGTTGAATGCCTCAGGAATTGTAATTGATATAAGTCCTCAAATGTCAATGTCAAATAACAATAATTATGTTTTATTATTAAATATATACATAGACACACACACACACACACACATATATATATATATATATATATATATATTTATTTATTTATAATTTTAAGTTATATTATATAACTATTATATTATATTATATATTTTGTTGTATTATTTATTCATTTTATTCTTTATCTCAGTCGATGTTATAATATGACTTTATGTGATTTTGAGAAAGCGATAATGTTTTTTTTAATAAAAATATATCGATATTCGTATCAAATTAACTATTTAAAATTCCTATTTTTTGTGTAATTTTTTAATTCAATTTTTTATTATAATTTAATTTAGGTACAATAATGAAGTAATTTATATTTGGTTTAATAATATAATTTTCTTATAAAGATAATAAAT